TTTTTTTTTTCTCTCTGTGGACCATTATGTTTTCATTCATAAGCCAAGAGGTGTTGAAATCAATAGTAATTTATAGTTTCATTTAAGATGCATCATGTCTGTGCATTTTTGATTCTTAATCTTTATTTGATCATTTATTTTGGTATGTGTTTAGGATTATGCATATGCCTGCATAACAGATGTGAATTGCTCTGTTCTTCATATGGCGATGATAAAAAAAACAAAAAAACAATCATTTTAGATGCATTTACTTAAGGTAAATTGACAAAATAAACCCAGAATTCTGGGAGGCATCCAATAATTATTTTGTGCTGTCACAAAAATGTGATGATATGTGAAAAACTGGACTCTGTGAAAAACTCGTGTTTAATGTCAGACTTAATTCTCACATCAGCACATCAGGGTTTGTGTGAGTGTCTGTCAGGGGAACTCCACTAAAGCGAGTCTTCCACTCATATGATTTACTCATATCCAGATGAATCACTAAACACCTTGTACATTTCCTCAACAGTGAAAAAAAAAAGATTTAGAGGTGCCCTTTTTAAAGAAAATACATGTTGAAAGACACTGACAGCTCACAAAAATCTCTAAATTCTTCTCCAAATCAAAAAGCTCTCACATTATGAATTGAATATTGTATTTATTTTGCAGCAAGGGATTAATGTTTATCTTGTTAAAGTGTTAATCTTTAGTTTGCCAAATATACATGGTCAGACAATTGGCCCCTGAATCCAGAGGGATTCGAGCACTGCTCTTTTCTTGCCTCAAGGAGTGTGGCTGAAAGTGAGACTGTGGTACACTGACTGAGATCAGATGCCTGATGCAAAGTGCGGTTAGTTTTTATGGGCCACGTGGACCTTTAAGCATGCTAATGTTAAACCTTACAAGTCTAAGTAAGACTTATAAGTGCATTACCGCCACCTATCTCTCAAATGGACCATTGACACTCCCAATTGAGATTGTAGATAAGAGTGTCAATGGTCCATTTGAGAGATAGGTGGCGGTAATGCACTTATATGTCTGCGATCCGCCATAAAGCAAGAAGAAGACGCCTCATGCCAGCTGAAGAAGAAGACGCGAATGCACTCAGGGCAGTTAAGACATTGCGGTAAAAATCAGAGGTAAAAAACAATATAAATACTGTTCAGTTTCTTGCTCAGACTGATCGTTTTGTGTTTTTACACATCAATGTATCATCACGAGCTGCAGGGTTTAATTTGGTTTTATTTGTGTATGTTTTATGACTCTCAAAGCCGTGATTCCCATCCACTGACATTATAGGACTGACAGACTGCAACGGTTTGAGTTAAAAATCTCCGTTTGTGTTCTACTGAAGAAACAAAGTCACCTGCATCTTGGATGCCCTGGGGGTAAGCAGATAAACATCGAATTTTTGGGTGAACTATCCCTTTAAGGACTAAGTTTACATGATGTAGCATGCGAGTCCGCAAGACTTCAGAATGATAAATTATTAGGATTTCGTAACGCTGGTCCTGTTTACCAATGGAGGATCCTCAGCTTACACTAAGTTTAACTGGATCTCCTAGATAATCTGTATGCTTGGATCTGTGCAAAAATTAAAAACGGTCCAAAATCCATTTTTGACAAACGCACTTTATGAAGTTTGGTGCAGGGCCCACTTAAACAATGTATGAAAGCCAACATAGAGTTTTCTATTTCAGTCTTTCTTTGTCCAACTCTTTTGTATTTTCTTGTGAATGTACAGTTGCAAAAATCAGTCATTTAATTTGTTTAGCTGTTTTTGCAGTGACTTTTAAACAACTGGTTCCAATGTCATTTTAAAGTGGATGTGTGTGTAGTCAGTTTCTCTCAAGCGTCATAGCAGAGTAACCACAGATCTTAACGTTTGACAGCCACAAAGTGACACAAACTTTTTTTGTAAAAAAAGTGTGTTTTGCCATATTTAAAAAATAAAGTACACTTCGTTTGATGTTTTGTTATATAATGCAAACAAATTTGTGAATTCGTGTTTCCAAAAACCAGGCACTAGAGGGCACTAACACATCTCCTTGTATTCAAAGAAAGCCAAAATATTCTTCAAGGACAGATATAGTCACATACAGTGTTCAGAGGAACATACACAGTACGTGATGCATATATTTTTATAAATAGCTATGTCGTGTAAAACCTCGACTATCAGGCCTGAGTAAATGGCTCTTTCTTTGAGCCTGTAAATGGGAGGAAAGTTTTTATGACAATACTCTTTCATCCTTGAGCCATAATCCTTTAACAGCCAAGTTGGACACGAATATAAAGTGGTTTGTGTGTGTGTTTGAATGGGAAATGTTTAAGTGAGCATTAGTCTCAAGGACTGACAGGCAAATGGATGAAGTGAGGGTTTTGTGAGAGTGTTGAGTGGTTGCACCAGTAGATGCTCAGCACTGTTTGGCCTCATTATGAAGAGATTTAATCTCTCCCACAGCCACTGCACTTCTCAGAACTGACCATAAAGATTTCAGACCTCTCAGCAGCCAGATGATCATGACCGATCCATTGTTTATTTTCAGCAAGGCAGCGCTAGACAGTGGGGTCAGAACGCTGATCTAATGGGAGATTGTCGGCACGCATTTGCAAGAGAGTCTCAGCATGCCATTGCTCAGCTGTTGCAGCGTTTGAGTCGGAAATGAGACGGAAAGAAGAAAAAACAGATAAGAAGTCTGTATACTACACTCCTGTAGTGTAGTATACTCATTTCTGCAGGATGATAAAAGCCCCTCCTTCACAGAGGAAGTGGTTTCAAAAGTGTTCTGACATGACAAAAGCTGCAGCCTCTCCACAGTCTACAGAAAGTTGTTAAGAAGTGTTTTGAGACGTCTAGATGTTGTTCGTTTTGGTGTAGAAGTGGAGTGCAGTCTAGTCTGACCAGCTTCTGTTAACCCAAAGCATTGTTGACACTCCAGTCATAACTCCTTCATCTAAAGTAATCAAAACTGAGCTGGATGCATTTTTAAGTGTTTAAAAAACAACACTTTACTTAAATGTAATGTCATGTAAGTATGTCACTTTCTCCCATCACTGCTTAGTGAAAAGAGACATTTGTAGCAAAGCAAGTTATAAGTTCTTGCAAAATGGCTAATTATTACTCAAACACACACACACATATACAGTATGTACAGTACATGCATATATGTATACTGTGTGTGTGTGAAATAAGTGTTGTAAAATATTATTATAATTTAAAATAGCTGTATCTATTATATTTTAAAATGTAATTCCTGCTGGTGATGGTAAAACGGGATTTTTAGCAGGATTACTCAAGTGTTCTGTGTCACATGATCCTTCAGAAATCATTTTAATATGTTGAATATGTTTTCAATGCTGACAAACAGTTGTGCTGCTTAATATTTTTGTGGAAACGTTGATGAATAAAAAGTATTAAAAACATTTTTTAAATGGAAATCTTGTGTAACATTATAAATGTGTCACTTTTGGAAACTTTTGATAAATTTAATGTGTCCTTGCTGATTAAAAGTGTTTATTTCTTTTTTTTTTTTTTTATCTTACTGACCCCAAACTTTTGAGTAGTCTGCAGTATATCATGTAATTTATTCACACAATTTGTTTATTTGCAGCCTCTTTCCTTTTAGTAGTGCATTTCAACCAGTATGAGCAAAATAAGGAAGGACAGCAAAATAAAAATTGACATCTATGTGCAAACTTCCTTTCAAATGTTTAACAACAGTTGCACATCTTTGGTGCTGTACTTGTTCAATTTCCCATTTGTCATTAGCATTCACTTTTCTAGACTAGTGTGCCATCTGCAGTTCATGAACATATTGCAACAGGGAATGGCTGATTCTTGCCAATCTGGGCATCAGTATGCATTAGCCTTGTCAACCTTGATGTGTGCTGCTTATACTGTACAAATTGTCACAATAGAAAGTTTACCTTGATATGAATGTTCATTGTTCACTGATTTCTCAGGGTGTAACAACACAATACGACAACAAACCATTATAAAATATTATATTATAAAATAACAAACCATTAACTACGAGTTTTGCCTCAATAAACTCCTAATTTGCTGCTTATAAATAATTAGTCAAATAGTTGTTAAGTTTAGGTTTTATCAGGATTAGAGATGTAGAATATAATCAGGCAGAATATGTGCTTTTATAAGTACTAATAAACAGCCAATATGTTAATAATAGGCATGCTAATAAGCAACTAGTTAATAGTGAGAAATAGATCCATATACCCACAATACTTTTTCTTAAACAGTGCACCAAGTTGCTCTGCCTACTTCACATAACATGTTTAAATGGGCTTTACGTTTTGTAGGTTCCACCATACTCCCTCAAAAGTTCTCCAGAGATTGTATTGTACAGAGACAGTCTCTGCATAACACAGAAATACTTACTTGGAGCCTCTGGACTCTTAAACATGATCAATGTGAAATACCTGGAACAGTGCAAATACTCCTACCTCAGGAAATTAGAAAGCAGGGCTGATTTAGATGGTGTCTGGTTTGATTCAGAGTTATGTCATCAACAGCGTGGTGCTGTTCCAAACCCCAGATTAACAGCTCATGTTGAGCTACAGGAGCGAGAGCCAGTCTGGTGAATAACAGTGTAGTCTAACTGGCCTTGAATTCAACTGACCTATCATCAGATTGCTTGTTTTCTATATCGGTGACCTTTAAAGGGTCTAAATGTGTCATATTCATGTTGAACACTAAAGCTGTCACGTGTCTTTTCATTTGTCCATCAGGAGCAGGACATTCTGCAGGAGTACCTTCTTGCTCTCACTACCAATGAACAGCTAGTAGTGCGCACTGCACAGGTAAGACTACCACAGTCCCTGTAGTGTTCTTATATATTTAGTTTTATTTGACAATTTAGTATCCTTCAGTGTTTAAATCAAGGGCGGACAACAAAAAAGTACAAGCTAAAATATGATTACAATACAAAGAAAAGCTCAAGTATAATGGAACGAAACAGTCATCAGTGATTCAGATGATCAATGAAATTCCTATTTAACAATAAATTCAATAAATGGATCTTTAATAAGAGAGTCATTTAGTAATTTGAAGCTGCTGGCAATGTAAGAATGCAAGTAAATGAAAATACTAAACAGCCTTTTTTTTTCCAAGTTCAGACCAGGCTTTATGAACAGTCATGAGCATGTCTGAGAAGCTATGCCATAAACACCACATTTGTAACAGTAAAGTAACAGGTTTACGTAAACATTAAATAAATATGACCTGTCCGTTTAACTTGTTCATTTAGTGCAATTCATTGTTTAAAAAAAGGCAGTAAAAATGAATGGTACCAGAGATAGGCCATTTTATGGAATTTGATTAATTGACATATCATGCTGTTATATTTGTAATCAATGTATACCGATGAATAATTTGACATAAGGGAGGAGAAGGACGGTAGACTTTGGTATACAGCTAGTAAGGGTTATTCCGTCAAAGATGACACACGATATTAAGACAATAAACTGCTGCAGCCATGTTCAAATGAGTACACATTATATACCAGGAGCCACAAAAGGTTTTCAGTGGTGATGGTTCACTGCTTAAAATGAGATGTGGCAGAGCCATAAAGCTGCTAATTTACAGGAAGGACAGGAAACCACAGCACAGTGGAGAGGTGAATGTTTGTCAAATGGACGGCTATGTCCCACTATATGCTGATGAGTTATAATGGTCCTCTAATGTCTCATGGTGTGTTAATGAGCTTGTTTTATTAGCAAACCCTGATGACTGACAGTCATTGTACAGTATGGCTACTTGATGAAAAATTAATGAGTGTGTTTTATTATTACTGTACAGTAGCATTCCCATTTCTTTGTTTTTTTTCATGTTGCTTCTTTAGCAGGAACATTCGTTTTACTACAAATTAATACATGCGATTTGGGAAAATACTTCTCTACACTTGACACTTCTCTAATAGTAAAAGTGTTTGACCTTTGTTCACATACTGTAGATAGATAACAGCATTAGTGACTAAATTGCCCTTGGTGAAATAAATATTTGCGCTCCTCATCACATGACAGCTCTCACCAAATATTATGCTAAAACAGCTGAACATCAGAAAGCATATTGATAAAAACACCTGTGTCGATTCTCGCACGAGGCGTACGAGTTCCCATCATCCATATACATGTGTGTGAGAGAGAGTGTGTTTGTGTGTGGGCTGTGGGCAACTCTATTGCATTTAGTCATTAACCCCATTATTGTGTTTGGTGTGGCGCAGCCTCATCTCCGGCACAAGGAACACATTGTGTTGTGTGGGACGGGATTAATGCTCTGCATTTATCTTATCCCGAGCACCTTTTCAGCTCGAATAAAAACATGCTTGTAATATCCAAACAAGTGGTTTGATGTTGTTAACAAAATAGCCTTTTTGTGCCAAGAAAGTTTTTAAATGGGTCGAACGGTGACATATTTGAAGTGTGATAATTGTGTGTGGGTGTTTTTTGCTGAGCTTTGAGGGCCACAGGTGTGTGAAACGGTTTTATAAATTACCCACAATGTTTTGCTTAATGGTTTTTCTCTCTCTCTTCCTCTCTCTGACTTTTTTCTGCCATTGTTGCCTTCCTCTTTCTTTCTCCTGCTGTACTCATTCACTTTTCTTTATATCGTTCTCTCCCTGTTTTATTGCACAGGCGCTGAAGAACATCGCAGCCATCAGCCTGGCCATTAATTACCCAAATAAATCCACTAAGCTGCTCAACCTGTCCCCGTGAAAGAGGGATGAAAGAGAGATCGAGATGAGAGAAGGGAAACTTGCCAAAGGCCCAAGGGAATGGCCTTCTGCGCTCGACGGCTGTGGCAGGAGCGGGCCACATATCGTCTTCCAGAAAACCCACCCCTGTGCTGTTTAATCATAAAGTGGGGGGCACGGCAATCTCATGTCTCTTAATAATCGTTATTTCTCATCTGGTTTAGGCAAAGATGGGGGGGGGGCGTTTCACTTTACCTCCGCTTTAACCATGCGAGTTTAGTGGGCTATGCCAAATTAGTTTTTTCACCCATATGCACATAAGTTTTTTTTCTCCATTCCTTCGTTTTCTTTTTCGGAGAAGCCACTGTGGGCAAGACAATCGATCAAAGTGAAAGCAGGTCACCTTTTTCCCTGCCTCACACACTCTCCCTGGATTGCCTAAAAATACGAAGCTGCCGGCGCAGTCTCATCCTTCAAAGTGGCCTGAGACTTACGACGAATATATCGATATCTATCCGAAACCGTGGGGCCTTCTCTCTGTTCACCCTCAGTGGAGCCTGAGCTGATGTTTGTTCAGTACTAGCAGCTAGCAGTTACACTCGAAAACCACATGCTTCTAGACAAATGTCAGCTGATGTTTGTGAGTAGGTAAAAAAAAAAAAAAACAAGTTTGACGTGCCATGTGAGTCCAGAAGTCGCTGTTTGCCTTACAAGTGCAGCTCAAAGTGATCTGGCAACTGATTGTGGGTAAGTTAGCAAAGTTATAACACGTCCTAGTAAAAGGAATGTCAGCGCTTGTCTTACATTATCATGTCCCAGATTCTCAACTCACTTATGCTGCATACCACCAGGAAATATAGAGCATTATGTACAGAAATATCACTTTATGTTGTGCTGCATGCAACACTGGACTAAACCATGATGTCCATTACTGTTAGTGACATATCGGTTGGTGTATTCTGTAATATTATTGCAGTTGGAGACATTCTGTTTGATCGGTTGATCGACAGAGAATTGTGGGTTTAGTGGATGGTCTTAAGGTGCAGGAATTGATAATCATAATCTTCATTGATCTATTGAGACTCACCAGTATTTTAACTGTGGTGACATGGATACGGTTATGGAAGTTGTGTTGCTTTAAAATATCTATTTATTATTATTACAGGGACATTATTGGGTGAATTTCGAGTGAAGCGTTTGATTGGCTAATAGAAAGATTTGTTGCCGTTTTGAAGGTCAGGTAAAGGCTGTTCTTAGTTCTAACCAATGTTTATCTAAATGTCTTTTTTTTTTTTTTTGCCCTGTAGCCAAACATTTCTGTTTTTTAAATTAAATATCTTAGTAGTATTTTTTGTTCTTGACGGGTATTCAGATTTTTTGTTCAGTTTGATTTCATTTTAGTGGGAAAGGAATTGAGACAAATGGTTATTTATGCCAAAGAATCATTATTGTTTGAAAGAGAAGCATCTAACGCAAAGAAATTCATCTTTATCTTCCTGAAGGAGGCTCTAATGATGGCGTGGTCGGTGGTGGTGTTATAATAGAAAAGAAGGTTGAAGTGATCCTTTAGTCCTCACTATGTTTGTTTACATGAGTACTAGCATGGAGCACTGGCTACATTTGGTGCCGCTGCTGAGCCTCAGTTGGGGTGGGTTTCTAAATGTCTGCCAGGAAAACTTCCTGTCGCTTTAAAGCCTCAGATATTAACAAACGATGTGCCTATGTTGAAAATGAAGCTATCTTCATTTAATCTTCATGTCATTGTAAAGGTCCTCTCTTCAACTCTATTTTTAAAGAAAATTATATAGTTTAATTTGGAGTATATCTATCTATTTTATTTTTATGAATGTCTTTTTTTTTGTTTCAGAGCTCATGGCTTCAATTGCTTTGAATTTGACATGAATGTATATAGTTGTGAATATGGATAATTGCATAAATAATTCATATGAAAATGATTTTTCATGTCAGCCCCCCACGTTAAAAGAAATGTCAGAATGGTGTACTATATTGTTGTAAGTTTACACTTGATCCTTTTGAATTGATTTGCTATGTCACACACACACACAAAAAAAAGAAACAACAAAACTGCTTTGGGTTGATTGCTCATTTGTTTTTAATTAAAAAAGCAAGATATGCAAATTCATGTGCCTGGAGGTTTCCCTCTCTTTTAAGGAAAGTCACTTAAAAGTCAAAACCCCCTAGATGACAATTCAGTCTTTTGGAAATTGTTGGTGGGTTGAAAAGGATTCCAGTTTTATACCATGTATCAAAACCTAAAGTGAAAATTCATTTGTACCTATTTGTGATATATTTTACTTACTTTTGAAGTCATAATAACGTGTTTAGTTGAAGTTGTTTCTCAGTTTTCTTAGTTTTTTTTTATTAGTTTTTGTTAATGGTAATATAACTACATTGAGCTGACAGAAGAACTGAAGTAGAATTATTTTAAAAAATGATTTTTTTTTAACACTTCAACCTCAAATCACAAAATTTCCCATGAAACTTCCATTTAAGGGTAATTTTTTTTAGCCATTACTTCTGGGATATTCATATTCCTCAATGGTTTTTTTTTTTATTTTTTTTGCTCAAAACCTTTTCCATACTAAAAAACCCATATCATTTTTGCAGCTGTTAAACAAACGCCATCACATTTCGCATGTGAGTGCATAGGTATTAAGACATTTTCCTGTTATTTCTGATTTGATCTACTTTGTTTCATTTACCCTGTGCTGAAAGGACCCATTCATCTCCAACTGCCTTACATTTGGAGCCTGAAGCCTCGAATGTGCCGTGCTACTTAAAGGGGTCATATGCTGCTGCTAAAAAGAACATGATTTGGTGTATTTGGTGTAATGAAATGCATTTATGCGGTTTAAAGTTAAAAAAACACATTATTTTCCACATACTGTACATTATTGTTTCTTCTCTATGCCCCGCCTTTCTGAAATGCGTCGATTTTTACAAAGCTCATCGGTCTGAAAAAGCGAGGTGTGCTGTGATTGGCCAGCTATCCAGTGCGTTGTGATTGGCCGAACACCTCAAGCGTGAGACGGAAACGTTATGCCCCTACGAAGCACACAGCATCTTCACGACATGGCTGCAGCGTCAACAATACTACAGCGAGAATAAAAGTTACGCCTTCTTTCTTTGCGTGAACATTTGGGAGGCGTTATGCAAATCTTCCCACATAGTGACCTAGATATGTGGGGGCGTGTTAGAACGAGCCATTTTAGGTAGGTGTGGCTGACTCTTAACTTTTATAAAGAATATCTCTTTGGTTTTGAGACTTTAGTCTTTGCAAATTTACAGATCTTCTTTATGCACCAAGAGCTTGTAACACTCCAAAGAGAAAGGAAAAATTGAAATCGCATCATATGACCCCTTTAAAGTTACACTAAATTACACATAATCCAGCTTTTATGAAACTTGACTCTAACTTCAATAAAATGTAACATTTATAAGTCCATTAAAACAATAGTTTTGCAACCCTCCTTTCCTCCATTCCCATTTGAATCTTAACACCATCCCCAGCATCCCGATCCAACTGAGTATGAACCGCAGAGGTGTCTGAGGTGTCACGTCTATATGTGTTTTGACTTGGCAAACACATGGACCCTCCCTTTAGCACTACGAATAGTCCCTCCCATGTCAGCATTTTCTTCCCTCCTAGAATGTAAACCATCTGTAGTTTTATTATAACCGTTCGCCTAAATATAGTCTCTCGCTTTCAAACACGGTCGCCCCGTGACAGCCACACCCTGGCTTTTGAATTAGTTCAACTCATCTTCCTGAATAAATATGGACCGCTTTGCCTCATAATACCACCAGCGTTTCTCGCTGCGTCCCTCTTTCTCTCCCCATTCACAGAAACACTGAATGACGGATGTGTCATCGATGAAGATGATGATGGTGATTGTGCGGGAGAAGACGGTGATGATTCAGAGGCGCTCTGAGCTGTAACATCCCCCTCAGTCCCTGTGAGTCAGCTCTCCTCACACCCCCCACCCACCTCTTCTGCGTCTCCCTGTCTTCCCACGAGCTGGACACCAGCAGTAAGTCCCTACAGCTGCGACCGCACGGGGGGAGATGATGATGATGATGAAGTCATCCGGTGGGGACGTGAGGCAGTGGGTTTGAAGAAGTATAAATAGCCTGTGAAAACGGAATGGCGCGAAACTCGCTCTTCACACCTACACCTCGGATATGGGAAAAAGGGTAAAGGGGAAAAGAGAGAGTGAGGGGAAAAACGAGGAAAGTGACAAACGGAGTAGCCTTAACTGATAATCTGCAGATGCGATGGTTTTTCGAGGAAGGGTTGGGAGGCTTGGATTCAGGCTTCGCTGGAGATGAGTTCGGATTAATGGTGCTTTCACAGAAGATGATTTGTGTTTTGGCTCATTGTCATATATGCGGGAATAAGGGCTTCCGCTATGGAGGTCCAAACCTGCAAAAATTAAAAATAAATACACAAAAAAATTTATAAATGTGTGTGTATAAATAAATGTGTTTATACATACACGTATTCTTGTTTAAATACGTATATAAATAATTAAACGCGTGATGAAATATAGGCAGATAAATAAAATAAATTGGTGGCCAAATGGAAAATGTTTAAGGAAAGGCCAAACTCATCCTAACTGTTTTCTTTTAATCACTCATTTATTTCTGAATGTAGTTCCGCATGTACTTTTCCTCTGCACAACATGCTAATGAGAGGGTGTCAACCATGGACTTGGTCGGGTCTTGTGATAGCTGGGGGCGCGGCTTTCCCGCTGACAGGAAATGCATGGTGTAAAGCCTAGTAAAATAACTTTTGCCATTCAACAGAGCAAGATACATAGAAAAACTGAGCCGTATTGTCCATACAGTATCTGTGACTTTACAAACGACCCAACGGAATGGCCAGAGGTGTAATTTCCCGGCATTCGATAGTCGCAAATCTAGGGACCGTCTCTAAAGTTACATACGACATTGGTATACACTTTTCTAACTGCAGTAACACAACCAACTGTGAAGTGTTCATGTAGTTCTCAGTTATAATGCACACCTTTTAGATTTTTGATATTTATTAAAATAAACTAAGTTCATATCTACACTGTAAAAAATTCCTGTAGAAATTACAGTAACTAACTGGCAGCAGTTCGCTGTAAAAATAAAAATAAGAGATGTAAATCAACTGTAGAAAACTGTAAATTAACAGTTCATTACTGGCAGCAACCACAGCTGCCAGTATTCTACGGTTATAATCAGGATGTCATGCCAATAAAGCAATATGAATTGAACAGAGTTGAAATGAATAACTGATTACTGAGCATTTTTATTAGATTATTATCTTTCTTTCTTTTTTCAGATCGAATGCCATCAATGCAGGAGGTGGTTTCATGTGCCTTCCAATGACAGACAGCCAGTTCAAGAGGGCTCAAAGGGTTGACTGGAAGTGCTGCCTATGTAAATAGTTTTAAATTCTGCAAATAGTCTAATGTATTATAGTTCTTTAATGTAAAGTTTCAGGTTTGGTTGGGGGGCATTGGGAAAATTAAAAATATGAAGTTACACAGTTGTCATTGTTTTTTTCCCATTGTTATTTAATGGGACTGCTAATTTTACAATTTGTGCATATAGTTTTACAGTAACTGAAAAGTGAAGCAAACCAATTACAGTAAACTTTACAGTATAACAGTATGTTTTCTATTGTTTTAAAATGCATTACTCAAGAAAGGACCAAAAAATTAATACAATAATAAAATATTTTACAGTTAAACAATATTGCACTGTAAAAACATTTACAGCAAGTTAAATGACACAGTAAAATAAAATACAGTATTTTTGCTACAAAATAAAATTACAGTAAGTTATGAGCGAACTGATGCCAGTTAGTTACTGTAATTTCTATAGGAAGTTTTTTTACAGTGTTGACATGAATTTACCGTTTATTTGAATAAATATCAAAAATCTAAAAGGTGTGCATTATAGTTGACACCTACATGAACACTTTACAGTTGGTTTTATGACTAAGTCATTCCCAAATGCTATTGAGCTTTAAATTATGATATATATTTTGTGTTTGAGCCCATTTGGTAGTGAAATAAACATATTTATATATGATTTGACAGTTTATTTTAATATCAAAAATCTAAAAGGTGTGCATTATAACTGAGAACTACATGAACACCACAGTTGGTTGTGTTACTGTAAGTAATTTTCCTCAAATGCTATCGAAGTTAGAAAAGTGTATACCAATGTCGTATGTAACTTTAGAGACGGTCCCTAGATTTGCGACTATCGAATGCCGGGAAATGACACCTCTGGCCATTCGGTTGGGTCGTTTGTAAAGTCACAGATACTGTACGGACAATACGGCTCAGTTTTTCTATGTATCTTGCTCTGCTGAATGGCAAAAGTGATTTTACTAGGCTTTACTGGATTTACACCATGCATTTCCTGTCAGCGGGAAAGCCGCGCCCCCAGCTATCACAAGACCCGACCAAGTCCATGGTTGACACCCTCTCATTAGCATGTTGTGCAGAGGAAAAGTAAATGCGGAACTACATTCAGAAATATATGAGTGATTAAAAGAAAACAGTTAGGATGAGTTTAGCATTTCCTTAAACATTTTCCATTTGGCCACCAATTTATTTTATTTATTTGACTACTTTCATCACATGTTTAATTATTTATATACGTATTTAAACAAGAATACGTGTATTTATACACACATTTATTTATTTATTTGCTTATTTATTTATTTTTAATTTCTGCAGGTTTGGTCCTCCATATTCCACTGCATGAATGCAGTAGTACGGAATGCCTGTTATAGGATTGAGCTCTTTGGTTTATAGTACTAATACTTTAAAGGGAATTAGCATTTTCTAGCCAAGGGTTTCCTTTGGAATTTCCCATGGATTTTTATAATAATAATTTTCAACGAGATCGATGAGGTTTACGCATTTGAATTACACACATACCTCACGCACTACAATCTTAAATAAATCAATGGCATCTATGGTTCCATGGTTCCTTTTGCACCAAAAATGTTTCCAATAAAATGTTCTTCACACAGAGGGAAAAAATGTTCTAAGAACTGTTCACTAA